CGGGAAAGGTCGGCTTACCAGGCGACATTGGAGAGCAAGGTCCCAAAGGTCCAGATGGCACGTGCGATCACTGTCCGCCAGCAAGGCTTTCACCCGGATATTAAACGAGGAATCTTTTGTTCCTTTCTAAACTTTCATTCTAGTTTCGTCTGAATTAGTGGAAATCTAAACGCTTAGTAAAATTGAGTAGAGGAATTTTTGGAAAATATTTCTTGTTGTTATTTCATTCATTCAGTTAAGAAAATTATGACTTGAAAGAAATCCTGGCAACAGAAGTTCAAGATTCTGAAGCAGCATAGCTTCCGATTTCATAGGATGGGGGCATGTCACATATTTTAAATTTTTCGCGTTGTTACGAAGCGAAGCTTAGCTTAAGAGGTTGTTTGCTTCCTTCATGTAATTCATGAGCTCATACTATCAACGCTGCTCTACGTTGCCAAAAATTTATAAAAAATAAAATCTACTAGACGGTTCCAAAATTTACCACATCAACAGTCTTAAAATGTGAGGAAGTAGAGTACGTTTAACATGGCATAATACAACAAGATTTTAGAGTGATGATCGATAAATATGCACAAGTTTGACAGATATCTGCTTTAGGCGGCTGAAAGTAGTTAACAGTCTGAAGCAGATTTGCTTCCTGGAAAATTAACAAGGGGATGTCATATGAGGACAGCTCTGCCACCAAAGCCTTTGATCCAATTGCTAGCCATTCTTAATTATCGAAATGCGACAAAGAACTCTTTACCTCGTAATAAGAGATTATAGACAAACTGAAGAAAACATAAGGAGGCAATTTTTGGATTTCATTACTTACACAATGCAAGCACAGGATTAAGTTAGAGGAAAGGAAATTAAATAATTCCACGATGCGTTGTTAAAAAGATGACCCCTTGACGCGCAGGCGAGGAGATGCATTCTTGGCAGGGTTTTCATTTAAGACAAAAAACGTTGTAGCTACGTCGGATCATTAGGACTATGTTTAATCTACATATTTCTCTACAGGAACAACACCGCTTCCAATCCCAAGCTCTGATAAAAATAGGCGAGGACTGGGGACCGCGATGAGGTCATCCGTCTGACTTAGCCACCTGGCCCTCACGATATTACCATTACCGTCTTGGTCGTCGCCCGGGTTACCAAGGGCCCCGTAGGCTATAGGAGAACTGAACAGGTTGCCAAAAGTCTGGAAGCAAATTCTGCTTCAAGCTCTATGGCAGCCGGGATCGTAGCTGCATAAAAACTACTGCCGCAGATTGACAAAAAGACGACGAAGATACCAGTCAGCAAATAGAGCTCATACCCTTTCTGAACGGAGGGGGCAGGCAGCGCAGTGCCATTATAACACGTTGGATAAGGGTCCACGGGAACAATGGCGACAGTGGGAGTTCTGAGTCAAAAGATGGAACATATCTTCTTTAAGGCAGAAAAAGCAGGAGCTAGTTGATGAGATCGCAAAGTACGACTGGACATAGCTCTACTAACGAAGCGCAGGGCTCGGGAATTTTGAGCCTCCGATGGTTGAAGCTAATCTACTCAGGTTTCGACATTACGACGCGCGATCAGGCCGGCGCTGGTGCTCTGGCAGTACCGAACCTGGATGACAGAATCTTTTAATGGTAACCTGTCACCGGAGTACTGTTTATCATCCGAATGAAATTACAACGGCTAAAGTCCTAAAGCCTTTACCTTATTACAGTTCTACGCGCCGTATTCACACGGAGAATGTGAGTCCTTCATGGAGGAAGTAGAAGATGCTCTCTACGATGTGCTGATTAAGCAATCAATCATTCTGATATACGATTTCAAAACGCGTGAAGAAAACGGACAGAGTCTGCACTGAAACGGTGGATAGGCGAGAAGCGGCCTCAACAAGGTATGAAGTTTTTGCGGTGTTTTTGCAAACAGGGGACTGTCTGTTCTGAACATCTTGTTTAAACAGCGAAGTGGGTTCCTCTACACTTGGGATGGCAAAGCCTTTGCACAGAAGCCAATGACTGTGCTGATCATTCTGTCGTCAGACTTAGGATGCTCTGTAATGGATGTTCGCGTTAAGAGGGGCACAGAGTTGTAAACCGTTCATCAACGAAGACTAGGCGGAAGAAGCAACCACAAAATCAAATGGGAAACGTTTTCTTTTCGCATGACGGCTCGAAAAATCCAAATGACGGCCGCTGATGTGGAAACTGAATAGAAGCTCTTTAAAACGGGGTTACTCAGGGCCACCACCGAATGCTATGGCTGATAAAGCGGAACAGAGGTCAGAAACGGAATTGCTGGCGCACATGAGAGGTTTAACAGGCTTCCAGCTAGAATAACTGCGCATTCAAGACGGCTTAGACGCGAAGAACCTTCATCTCGAATGCAGTACGAAGAAGCTCGAAGGCTGCAGTAGAACGAGTGAAATTCATGTGTCTCAGCTGATAATGGAATATGGCAAGGAATCATTGACCGGGACATTGAAATGGCCTCAGCATTCTGTGTGAACTACACCTAACCGTTATGACTAAGGCAAATCTGAAGACTAAGCTTTCCGTATTCAAATTTGTTTTCAACCAGATGCTCACATGAGGCCACGAGTTGTAGCACGACTGGTAAGCTTTGATCCCAGCCACAATGGCGGCTGACATGGGCTTTCTGAGACGAAACTCTGGTCTCCTGTGCCTCGACGTGAAAGTAGTACATACATCTGTGCGCTGCTTATTACACATCCGATGTTTCTTTAGATTGGGTAATCACAGCGGCGATCATTTGGGCACGCTATATGAAAGACTTCAGAAAGGGAAGCGAAACAGCCACTACTTGGTTAACCAACTCCGAAAGATCCGGAGGCGGTTGAAAATTACTTGAGGCAAGTGTATCGAAGGACTTACTTTCAGACTCAAGTCATTTTCCGCTGAAGCTGAAAACATGGAATAAAATCTGGAGCGTTGGATACACTGTCTGATGTGTTTCTTTCTGCTATCTGGAAGGATAAGTGCAAGTTCTGACATGTAGAAATGTTTCAGATGGACTGCAGAAGTTAAAATATTATGGAATATTTACCTTTTCTAATTTCCCTCCTCCACCCTATGATCGGCTAGGATGAGGAGCGATGAAACTCTGGTATCTGAAACTAAAAAATGCCTTTAATGGCTCTTGAAAGCTACTATCGTAGTTACCTTGGAATGTCAAGGTTATTTTTTTTTGTTTAAAAATATGCTATTTTCTATTAATTTCAACATTTTATCCAACAACATCCTTCTGGATCAATCTTTGTTCTTTGTCGGAGGGTAGATGACTTGATTATTGTTTATCTTGCTTAATTCCTTAATTGATATGGACAATGACTTTCTGCCCTTTCATCCAAGTTTTAACTCAGGATATCTGTCTCACCAACAGAAATACCATCAAATGTCAGACGCGTCCTGTCTCTCGCGGTTTCTGCTCCCTGGTTAGAAAGCAGGCTTGAAATTCATGATGGGTCCTCTATCATGCAACATTCTTTCATTCTATCATTCGACCTTTTATCGTTGATTTTGACCGTTGTCCATTCAGGGCGAAATTAATGAAGCGAATGGATTTTGCTAGCGTAATTCATATGAATTTGCATGACTTGTGAAAGAGAAACGAGCGTTTTCCAGTATAGCTCTTTAGCAGGACAGCTTTATTCACTGTGAAGCCTTTTTTACCTCATAATCTTTCAGGTATAGTGGCCATCTCAAGATTATTTGTCTATGCTTTGAACATGCAGAATCGTGACAAACTTTCGCTGCGAAACATTCGAAATTATTTTCGCACAAAATTGTCTATTCTGAGCAGAAAGACTGGATTAAATATCACAACCGGCGTTGGTTCAGAAATAAGCATGACGAATTCGCTTTCGCCATGATATTTTTTCCTGAGCGACACCTTGTATATGAAAGGAGATATTCTTAATGACGTTTAAGGAGTGATACCTGGAAACGGTAAGAAAATATCCGTTGTAGCTTTGATAATGAAAATCTTGACAATCTGTCCCAAAATCTTTCAATAAATTAAGCCTGCTGACTGGGGAACTCAAAACATAGATAAAATTAAAGTATCTTCTTCAGTCATAACATTGTTGGAACTTAAATGAATAACAAAAATTATTGACCTGCTAAAATTATTAACAATAATTAAAACAAAAAGAGATGAAACATGCAATATTTATCCTTGAGATAACGAGTTTTATGCTGCTGCATTACCAGTGGATTGCAAGTTATGCTGCAATAAACCGAAGACTTCTTTGTTGGCAAAACCCTATTTACTTGTCTGATGTTCCTGAATAATTCAGCATTTCCAAAATGATGTAACAACTGTCAATCTCTTTTCCAAGGAAGGTATTTCTCATGGCAAAAAATGTGTGTATAATGCTAGCTGCATTCTTCCAACTAGTTGAATTTTCAGTTAATTGCCGCAAGAGACCTACTTGCCAATTAAACCATTGCCAAAGAAGCAAATGATCAGTTTTTCTTGCAGATTAATGTACAGCGCCAGGAGTTTTTGCATTTCATAGAATTCTATGTGTTGTGCCGCCAGGAAACATTCCTTTGCAATCAGTTTTGCTTTTAGATACTTATTTCGCAATCATGGAATGCACTGTGGTTCAGTGCAACGCTTTCTGCCAAATTTACCCACACGCTGAATCAGACATCAGGTTAACACCCTGTGCTGGCAATCACAGTGAATATTCAGCTTTCAGATTGGCGAAAGTTAGGTGCAGTTCCAAGGAACACTGGTATTGGAAAGAGTAACCGCACA